TATAAAGTACTTTTCGAAAGCACATTTTTTATTTTTAGGAAGTACTTTCTATATTTTTTTTATCTCTCTAAATACTTTTTGAAATTATATTTTAACATCCCAAACTCCAAGACTAACAATATTTTATAAAATACTATTTTTTTGGAAGAGTTTAAATATATCTTCAAAAGTACTTTCTCAAAGAATAAAACATAACTTTTGGAAAAAACTTTTTAAATGAGAAATATTTTTACTCTTTTAAAAAATATATTTTGGAAGTATATTTTAAGAATTAGAAAACATAACTTCAAAATAGTAATAATGAAAAACATGTTGTTTATAATCAATAATTCATCATAAAATCAACGGATCATACCTTTGAAAATGAAGTCTTCATAAAATTTATAACTTTGTATTCAATTGCCATATTGAAGATATAGTGAAGAATTAAGGTTTAAAAAATATTGAAATTAAGCGTAAAAAAACAATTTAAAAATAATAAAGATGAGCTATTGAGCATCTTGATTATTGAAGAAAAATCAAGAAATAAAAAGTAAAAAAAAGAAGAAGGGAGACCTAAAAATATTAATTAGTGAGGAATAAAGTAGCGAGAAAAAAAAGGAGGAAGAGGACGTAGATGAAGAACATAACTTTTAAAAATAAATTTTTAAAATAAATAAATAAATAAAAAAGGTATTTAGAAAAATAAAATAAAACGAATTGAAAAGAGAGAAATACCTATTAGAAAAGATATTCGTTTATGTTAAAATAATGTTTGAACAACAAAAATCATATTTCGTAACTCTATAAAAGTAGATTAATTCATCCGAAGTTTTAAGACATTGTCTATTTATGGATAGAAAAGAGAAAAATGTATATATAACATTTGTCATATATTTTTAATGTTGTAAAATGTCTCAAGAATTCAATTTTAATGATGTTATTAATCTCTTTTATTAAATAAAGTTTGGAATTAAATATATTGTTAATTTCAGTCGAAGACCAAATAAATCTAATTGATAAAATTTAATATTCAAAATCTCATTCAATTTACAATTAATATTTAATGGTACATTCGATAGTAATTTGGAATTCATTATCACAGTATTATGGGTAACACAGCAATCTATTATCATGCTTAATTATTTTAAGGCACATTTATAATGTTATTGATTTTTTTATTTTATAAAGAAGTCGACTTCTATAAATAAAGTGATATCTTTCATCTTCATGAACAAGTTGATGATTGAATCCCAACCCTTATTTAAGGAATACAAATTTGATATCTAAGATTATTAATATAAAATCATCAAAATAATTCTATCATTATAAAAATATTCCAATTTTTTTAATAATCAGGAATTTAATTAAATTTTTTTTTAAAATTCATAATCAAACAATGTGTTAAACTTATATAAAATAGAAATATATTTAAAATTTAATGTTCTAATTAATTAATCTAATCAAAATATAAGCTTTTTATAATCACCTATAATTACTAAAATTAGATAAAAAATACTATGCTTTTATGAATTAAAAATAATGAAATTTAGTAGAAAAAAATGAATGTCACAAACAAAACCTTCCTCTAAAGAGTGTTTAGTATACATAAAATCTTATCTTTATTTCAAAAATACAAAATTAAAAAGACTTGTTATTCATGTTTAATTTATTATTTAAAATAATATCTTTATAAAATATTTTGTCTTGATAATTTTGTTTATATTTCTCATGAAATTATTTTCACGAGGTAGAAATAGAACTTTTCAGGTCAAAAAAATGTTGCAATAAAATTATCAAATTTTCATAAATCATTTAATGCGATAAATAATTAAAATTTAAGAAATTTTATTGATAAATATATCTAAAAAATGTATAAAATAATAGATCTAAAAATGTTTTGTTCCTAATTGTCATAAATATTTATGATTAAATAGATAAATTTTAATTATTATAAATTATGATTCATAATTCTCATAAAAAAAAATTCTATAACTACGCCCTTATAATAATAATAATAATAATAATAATAATAATAATAATAATAGTACAATAAATAAGAGATATATCATAATATTTAAACTTAAAATCTCATAAGTTATGTAATTCTCACTGCTAAACAGATCCTAAGTGTTTTTAGACAAAATAAAAAATACTTTGCTAAATTATATCCTTATATATAGCTGAGTAACTAAGATTTGTTTAAATGGAGTATTAATTTTATTTTTGAGTGAAATTTGTATAGAGAGTAACTTAAACTAAATTCATATAACTTAAACGTCATGAAGTTTTGAACCTAAAATCTCGTAAATTATCATAATCTCTGTCACACTAACGGATCCGAATCAACTGTTTTCATATATATTAAATATTTTCATTTTATAAAAAAAAATGATGACATGGTGCACGTACATTCCCACTCCTACGTTATTGTTGAATTTTGCTACCCACTAACCCCATCATATTCCTTGTGCTCCTTCTCCACCCCAATAGCTTCTAAACTGTAACTGCTACCTACTACTTCTTTCCATGCATGGCCATTCAAAGTTAAGGATTCATATTCTCAAAATGCAGAGAAAAAAGCTTCACTTGCTTCTCAAAGACAAGGCCACCACTGACGCTGATGAAAGAAACAACGGTGGTACAAGGTTCAAGTGTGGAGGCCAATTCTCAAGGAAATCAGTTGGCTCGGCCTTCTCTTGTGTTCTTGGAAACAAAACACCATCACCACTTTGCAACCATGCTTCTTCCAGAGTGAAGAGAAAGGACCCTCTTGGTGACTCGGGAAACGGAAAGAGTTTAGCACTTGAAGATGCACCATCTCAGCTTGTTGCCTTGGATGGTGGAGCAGGTGAAGGAAAGAAGGATAGGCAACGTGAGAAAATGAATCTTCCTTTTCTAGGTAAAGGATGGAACAATTTCATGAGGGATAGGTTTAGTGGTGATGTGCATGGAGATGGCAATGATGTTGTCACCGGGTTTGGACAAGTGAGGATAAAGGCAAGTTTACGCCACTTGGTTAGGATTCGCTCTAAAATACTGGTTATTCGCCTAAAGTTAAAGTCTCTTATTAAAAAGAAAAAGAAGAAACAGTTTGAGCCAGAAGCTGGTGATGATGAAAATGAAGGCACACCGCTATGGAGGAAGAGAATTCTCATGGGAGAGAGATGTAGGCCACTTAGTTCTCCAGGTTATGACACATATAACTTTTACTTTTCAAGGGCACAACGCAATCCTTGATCTATCTCCTCGCTGCCCTTCTTTGAATGTTGCAGTCTCTCTTTTATATTTCTACTTCTTAAATATCCTTTAGAAACATATAGTATTTTACTTTTTTGCTTTGGAAATATGCTTTAGAGATATTTCATATCTGTTCTTAACTAATCATTGATATCTTTTCTTTTGTGCTGATGTTTTTGTGCATGAAAGAAATTTGTCATGGCTGTGTGTAAGCTGCCCAATAATGCATATTCTCTGTTTCTGATTTTCATAAAGGTACTGCAACTGAATTTGCAGAAAATGGAAAGTTGCTTCTGTGATAGCTTAGGTGTGTATCACTTCGAAAGAGGTATACTTTACAAAGCAAGTAACAGTATACATTCATTGCAGGCTTATAGACATTTTCACTCCCGTGGCCTATATTTTTCATTAAACACACTGATCCTTCAACAAAATTTGCGTATTCTCCCAATGATGATGTGCTGTGAAATTTACATGACGTCTCTAATTATAACGACTGATGAGGCAAGGTAAAATTCAGGACCGCTGCTTCGGAAGATATCTCAATGATATCCCCATCTTGGATGGTATAATTGATATGAGAACCATCAATATATATCACACCTTTTTTCAGAGGGGAACATGGTTGGTCACCCTTAGACCACTTGATCTGCATTTAATTAGAGGGGAACATTGTTGTTCACCCTGTCTGATTCTGCAAAAATACATGTTTATTGGCTTCTTTACAGGGAACTATGCTTTGAGATGAAAATAAGAAAATGCATAAGTTTAAGAGTTTTAATTTTTCACATGAAGCTCTTCCATGAAGGAGAACCTGGAACGTGAACCAGAAAATAGATATGCAATTAAGACATCATTGAGAGCATAAGTTGACAAGTGTAGTGCCTTAAAAAATATCATGATCCTTGTTAGCTCGGAAGGAACAATTTGACCTTCAAGTATATACCATCTAAAACCTGAAAAAAGATTTTAAAAACTAGATAGAAGAAATATTGTACTGAAAGCAGATAACAAACTAAAAAGATCATGTTTACAATTGTTCAAGGTTTAACGAATAGGATAGAATGATGGAAATGACCAAGAGAGAAATAAAGGTCAGGTCTTTTGTTTCCCAGGAGATAAAATGGATGAAATTATTAAGCACTGGTAAATATAATTTTTTTATACCCATATTGTGTTCTCCTAATATTAAGTTGCAAACATGAATTATCTAAAACCTGAAAAAAGATTTTAAAAACTAGATAGAAGAAATATTGTACTGAAAGCAGATAACAAACTAAAAAGATCATGTTTACAATTGTTCAAGGTTTAACGAATAGGATAGAATGATGGAAATGACCAAGAGAGAAATAAAGGTCAGGTCTTTTGTTTCCCAGGAGATAAAATGGATGAAATTATTAAGCACTGGTAAATATAATTTTTTTATACCCATATTGTGTTCTCCTAATATTAAGTTGCAAACATGAATTATTTTATTTGTTGTTTTCTTCATGTTCTGTTGATCTACTCAGATTCTGGAAAGTGTTTAATGATGACAGGAATAAGCCAAATAGAAATAGTTGCTTGCCAAGAAATTCACAGATAGTTGCTTGCTAAAAAAAATAAAGTTAAAATCAGAATAATATTATAATTAAAAAATTGTAACTATTCCCTTCTTTTTACTATTCCAAATGATGGAATGGAATATTTGTTTCATTCTACTATTATAAGTTGAACAAAAAAGGAAATGACACGCCCTGTTATGCTCCGATTCATTCCATTCTCTACCAACAATCCGAACATAGCCTTGCGGCAGAGTGCCATATATGTCTGTAATTCCCATCATTGTAAATGAAAGGTTTCATAAAATTTTGTGAATTGTATTTTATATTACACATCACCCTAAAAATAAAAATAAAAAACAAGTGCACAATAAACTTTATCCAAATATCCACAAACCAACGCTTGCCGTATTCTCTGAACATTCAATCCATATATTTGATCAATATTTATATGCGGCAAAGACAAGGCCGCTGATAGTTTCTGCAGTTATAATTTCATGCCAGGGGCTATGGATATGGTCTCATTAAAATAAAGGTAATTAAAATAAGGCTATGGACAAGCGAACACGAGCTAATGCAGCAAAAGAAGCACTCTGACGAACAAACTCAGCCTTTTGACTTGATGACTGCCACTCAGGGAAGTACGGAAAAAGCAAGCGGCAGCATCAAGTGCCACAAGGTAACATGGTATTTAACACCTTATGTTTGGATATTCTCAGTGGTTTAAAACCCACAGACCAAATTCATGCCACACTACTCAGATCAGACCCTCAATGGTTTCAAACCTAGAGCTGCTCGTAGCTTGTTTGCTTCTGCAATCTCTGGATCTGGGTGGTCAGTTCCATCATCCTTCTTTTCTTTCTTTTCTTTCTTCTCCTTCTTCTTCTTTGGCTCACCATCCTCAAGTCCATCTCCGTGTCTTCTAGGACTTACACTACTCCGAGAATGTCTTTTTCGGTAGTCCCCACCATCATGTTCTTTGCGATCCCTACTCCTACTTCGACTCCTTGAGTGACTCCTTCGTCTTCCACGATCACGATCCCTATCTCTCCTCTCCCGCTCCCTACCCTCTCTCTCACGTCCATAATCTTTTTCTTCCCTAAGTCGATATCGGTCCCTGTCTCTGTCCCTCTCCCTATCTCTGTCCCTGTCTCTATCTCTGTCTCTATCTCGGCCACGTCCGCGCTCTCGATCGTAATCTCTATCATAGTCTCTGTCATAGTCACGATCCCTATAAAAAGAACATTAAAAAGTAAATGAATTGTAATCTTGATAATAAGTAAATTAAAATCACTAATGACAGAACATGTCCATTTTAAAATATGGTCACTTCATTACAAGGTCAGAAAGAGACAACTGATATCTGATAACCAACATAATATCACTTTAATGATACGTACAAAATTTTAAAGATCATGAGTCATGACAACATCAAGTAAGACCATGAATAAACAATAATGCCAAGTAACCCGTGTTTTAACAACTAGCAGCAATTAAATCACCATTCAGATGAATGAGCAAGTCATGGGTTCTTAAAATGGCGTATAATGATCACCTCATACCATAATGCTTCACCAACAAGAAACATGCAAGCAACTCAGTTTCATATAGCTCAGCCACATATTGTTGGCGTGGGATTCCAAACTACCATGCTGAAGACAGAAAATTTAACCTACAACATTTTCATAATGCTCAATGATTGATAGGGCTATGATAGAGCTTCAGCCTATGTGCTTTCTGATATTGTATTTTTATGTGCTTTCTCAGTTTCTCTAGCTTCTTTTTTGGTGAATCATGCTTTATTTTTTTCCCCCCATGTTTCAGGAGGATTTCTTATATTTCTACGATCCCTCAGTTTTCCTAATCTTGCCAAATGAAATTTCTATTTATATTATTATACAAAACTTTCACACAAGATTCAGATATTGCAGACAGCTCTTCAAGAGTAACCTCGTAGAAAAAGCAATGCATACGGAAACAACACAACAAAGTTGACAATCAAGAATAGTAACTTGCCATTTTAAAAATGACCAAGATGACCCAATAAACATTTAAATGAGTAAACCCAACTCTATATACAAGACCATGCTTGTGGAGCACCATCTAACCATGCAACATAACTGTTTGATCCATCATACTTCTCACTGCACACTGTCAGTGCAGAGAAACCTGGCAGGATCATTGAACCTTACTATAGGAAGCAGTTGCATACCACAGATGGCTCTGAATGCCAAAGTGGAAATAGAAGTGTAACCTTATTCAAATTCAAAAACAGCTTCCAGCATAAAGTATTCATATCTATTGTAAATAAAGCTCAAAATTCTCCTAGAATCACATTATTATAAGAAGAAGACTACAATTAATGAGAGGCTTTAGACCAAACGGCCAAGATACACTCCTGTCCTACATTACCAAAAAGAAGTTGATGAAAAACAAAAAATGCAATTTGAAGGTAACAGAAAAGCTTTTTTCAGTGACAAGATTCACATCTACATCAATGCACACAAAGTTACAATTACAAAACACTTGCAAAGGAAGAACAGTACCTGTATCTATGACTATCACGTCTCCTGTCCCTATCTCTTTCCCTTGT